CAATTGTCAATATCGAGTATCGGCTATAAAGGTTGGGCCATTGTTGGCCTAGTAGTATTACTGGAAGTCTGTCGGCAATTCCTACATGGGAATCGTATTTCATAACACCATGTCGTGCCAATAACGAACATCGGATTATTTCAACTTTGGAAGTTTACTAATTTATTTAATAAACCGCGTGACGTGTATGTATATATATTACGTTTTGATTGACATCCTTGAATGCGTTATAATGGAAAGAGCACATTTGATACGTTCTTTTAAATACACGATCGAAGTCAATAACAGCACGCATCGCGAAGAATTAACATATTAACAAAATTGCAATATAAAATTAAACGACACCAGCAGAAACTATTATTTGGCTATTAGGCGGCTTTAAACAAACTGAGGTACTATATAAATAATTACAATTTAAATGTTAAATAATTACATTAAATGTTAAATTTTGTAAATATATATATATAATGCATATTTAAGTAATTTACAATTGTTTAACACACCATACAATTGTTTAATTGGCTTATCTAGATCTCTGAATAATAGTTTCTAGTAACACACATATTCGTGCTGTTATTCAATTAATTCATTTTATAAAACTTAAATAATTACTCGTGCGAAAACATATTTATTTCAAAAAGTTTAATTTGCTGCATTTCACGTTGCACTTTTAACACGACAAAATTCACTCTCCGATGCAGTGCGGTTTTTTTAAAAACCGTGTCCGCGCAAATCGTTTGCTGTCATATGCACACGCCGTTGTCATCTACCGGCACATACACACTCGCGAACAAGTTACTAAATACATCATCTCTCGTTTTTCATTGTTAAAAGCTCTCTCTTACAAGACGACCCTTGAGCGTTTTAAGGCTTTCATAAAGCGATCGGCGCGACAGCGTAATCGGCCTTTTATTAGAAGTTATTGACATCTCGTCAGTTACCCAGAAGAGGTCAAATATTAACGCGCGACCTACATTCCGAACCAATTTTTTGTCTCAAAGAAAATACGCACAAATAAAACGAATGGGAGAAAAATAGATGTTCTTTTTTTTTTCTTCAAAACGAACAACAAAAGTGTATTGTTTGTAAAAAAATTTTTACAAAATGCGTAAGGATCTGTTTGATTTTCTGGAACGTCACGAGATTTCGTTAAATATCGACGAACATTAAATTTCAACCAAAAAAATATGTGACACGTAAAATAGCACGTTTATGTTTTTGTTCGTACACCGCGATGAAAATTAGTTATTCTCATTATCGCATCGAATTATTCTCACGCTCCGTCAGATACAACAATCTATTTAACCTCTCGGTCATTGTAAATGA